TTATGCACACACTCACACTGGGTTCCACATGAACCTATTGACTGTGTGACACCAATAGAGATTAAATTTGAGTAATTACCCAATATTTAAAATTAGCTCTCAAAGTAGCTAGTCAAGGAAATTTTAAGTTACAGAACTGCAAGAATTGCAACTTCTGCAATTGCCTTTCTGCCGATTCCATGAAACTGTTGGAGAAGAAGGACATGAAACCGTTGCCTCCTTGGCCAGGTTCTTCAGGCAGTGGATTAGAAAGCGCTGAGTCTTACCTTCTCCAGGTAACTGAACTCCATGGCCATCTCTCTGAAGAAGAAGTAGATGTGCTGACCCCACTCCACTGCGCTGACAAAATATGGCTCTGTAACACAGCACACGAGGCAGCTTTGTCAGCTCGTCGGGACATTGCACACCTGACATATTTAAACAGCTTCTTCTCCCTGCACTGTTGTGCTGACGTCAGTGTGTCCAGCTGCCCTGTGCCCTCAGCCAATCTCCCTAGACTTCTCCGTTAGTGCTGAGAGATACAGTAACTGAGCCAGACAGGCACAGTGCTCTTCTGGAAAACAACTTGTCTCTCAGAAGTGCTTTTCACCCAGTAGAGCAAGGCTTGAACTGAGGGGAGGGCTTAGTGCTTTTCAAGCTCAGCAGTGAATGCAGGATGCAGGATCACAGATAGAGATCTGGTACACTGAGGACTAGAGCAGCCAGAGAGTGGTGTGGCTGTGGGACCAACCCCCGTGTTGCTGGCCTGCATCTCTCTGGGGCCAGAGCTGAGTGCCCCTCTGTCTTTGGGGCCCTGTGGGGCCCTGCTGGCTGTGCTGCAGGACAGTGGCATACCTCGGAACCACTTGGAGTCGTGCTTGACAGTGCGCAGGGCTGGGCCATCCCCCAGGCTGCGGTAGATCACGGCGTCGATGGCCAGGAAGTCTGTGACCGTTGCTGTGAACAGGCTCCCATCTGAAATGACAGGCAGGCGTCACTGGCTGGGCAGAGCACAGGGGTGCGAGTCCCAGCAGGGGCGCCAACGGCCCGAGCCTCACCTGCGAACAGGGCGACGTTGGCGTGTCTGGGGTCATAGGGGCAGCGCGCCATCCCACTGATCGTCTCCCCCACCATCTCGAGCGTGTCGCCCTGAAACCCAGAAACACACACTGCACTCGGAGTTGCACACACACCCTGACCCTCTTTTACACCCCCAGCTTTTAATGAGTCACTTTTTAACTCATTACCACAAGAATCATTGGTTTCAAAATGGAAAAAAAGTCAATGTTACTGAGTTCTTTACACAACCACGGAAGGTACACCTGCATTGTTTTTCCTACATCCAGCTGTCCCTTGCAGGGTACTGAGGGTATGAACACATCTGGAGACAGCGATGTGCCAGCTGTCGGCGGCTTTCCCTGAGTGAGGCTGTAAGCTGACACTTTGCCCATGTTCCCCCCTCACACTGACAGAGAGCCCTGCCGGTGGACCTGGAGCCACAGCCCTGCCTTGCCTGCTGCTGAAGGAAAGACCATCTCTACCTGCTTTGAACAATTTAAGAACAGTTGTCATGCCAGCAAAAATATCCTATAAATAAACCTGCTGAATCCGATCCTCCCTTTCGCTCTGTCTCCCTCTCCAGGGACACGTGCAGAACATCAAAGCCTTGGCAGGCGCACTCTGCTGTAGGAAGTGTCTAATAAACAGCGCACGTGGAAACAGTCACAGATCAGGACCAATTTCTAACCCTACGCAAATCCTTAAAACTGTATCCTGTATTCCATAGTTTTACCTACAGTATTTATTTTGTATCATTTTTTCCATATTGTGAGAATGCATTTTGAACTCCATTTATGGATCACACACTACCCCTGCAACTCCCTCTCGCTGCCTGCCACAGCCTTAATTAAAGCAACCGGAGGCCTGCTTTATTAATCTAGATGGCTACGCAGGATGGTAATTTAATACAGTGGCCTTAAAACCTCACTGACAGAGTAAGATTGAGCGACATGTAGCTGGTGTTATGAACTTAGTAAATTAGGCGTGAGTTCATAGCTTGTCTAAATGCTGTTTTTACTGGGCTCCACCAGTTCTGGGCCAGCCACTGCTCAGGAGGGAGACACAGGGAGGAAACAGACTCCTCCAGCTGGCTCCCCTGGGTCGATCTGCATGGCCTGGCTGCAGGCTCACTGCCCATTTCTCCCTGATCCTCGCCAGGCTGAGTGCTGGCCAGCAGGAGGAGCAGTACTCACAGTGTAGTTGGCACACAGTGGGTTGAAGGCGTTCGTCCCACAGATGAATAGGCCCTCCTTCCGGCTCAGCAGTACCTTCATGAAATTCCGACACTCGTCCTGTGAACAGAGAAAGAGGAGAGAGTCTGAGACCAGGGGGAGCACAGCATGGTTCACAGGATTTTGTCAACGAGATACTATTAAACACCTGGGACAAACTGATGCTTCAGCAGACCAATTAACAATCAGGGTAATTAAGAAATTTAAGGAGACGAGGGAATAAAATCCAGAGGTAGTTATGGTCACTACAGGAATGGGCTGCCTGTCTGTTGTTTAGTTTAAGGCTTTTGACATTGCTATAGCACATCATGAGAATAAAACATCCTGTGCAGTTCAAGCACAAAGAAGTGACTCAATACAACCTTTAGTGCTCAGGAAACATCCTCAGCCAGGCCTAACAGCCTGTTAATCACCCCCCCCATGGCCCTGACTCTCCGTACATGGCTGGGAAAGGGGATCTCCCGCAGATCAGGTGACCAGGCTGATGTAATCTGGGCGGTAAGGACTTTACCAGATGCTGCTGCTCAAGTCCCTCCTCCAGGGTGTGGGGGGGTAGCTTTTTTTTAGGACCTGATATCCATACAAGGCACTAGTTTAATTGAGAGGGACCCTGTGTGTGTATGAGATTTGTGTATCAGCGTGTACACTCACTTCCTTATGATTTCTTTGTTTGGTGGACACCAGAGTGCCTTGCAGTGTTTGTGAAGTTTTAAAGTAAAAATTCAAGGGAAGTGATACGTTTATTGCAGTACATTATAAAGCTTACAGATTTACAAAAAGAGGAGGCCATTCTGCTCTCCTTGTCTATTTGATAGAAGCTAAATGATCTCATCCAGTCATCTGAGACCAGGGAATCTTCAACAACATGGCTGGGTAGCTTGTTCCAGTCTTCCACATCTCTTAGCATAAGGAAGTGCCTCCTGTTCTTGGTTTTAAATGCAATTCCAAATGTTCTCCAGTTGTGCCGCCTGGTTCGTGTGTCACAGACGATTCTGAAGAAGACCACTGGGTTAGTTTTGCCAGGGCCTTTGAGGATGGTGAATACTTGTGTCAGGTCCCCCCTGAAGAGTCAGAGTCAGAGACAGAGTCTTCTGTGTTCAAGATGAAAAGGTTCAATTTCTTTAGCCTGCTAGTGCAGGACTTCCTTCAAGCCTCAGAATGTATCAGGCTGCTCCTCTCTGGACTGAGAGAACAGTAATAACTGCTGACGTGATTAAAATTGTACACAAAATTCTAAATTAGGTCTTACTAAAGCATCATACAATTTCATCATAGCATCTACATTTTTTACAGTATAACCTAAGATTGCATTTGCCTTTTTATTGGTTTCCCATATTGTCTAGAATATGTAAATATTGTGTAAAAATAACTACCTCTGTCTTTTTCAAACATTTCCTCTTCTACCCATTTTGCATTTGTAATTTATGTTCGTAATACCTGCGTGTAAGATATTGCACTTGTCTATATTAAATGTCATCTGCATCTGCCTAATCTTTATCATTATTTTTAATTTATTAAAATAATTTTGAATTTCACTTGCTGCTTCTGTAGTTTATTACTAGGCTATCATCTTATTTTGGTATCATCTACAAACGTGACTAGTTAACTTCCTATACCAGAATCTGATAACAATTAGTAACAGTATTTAGTGGTCCTGGTACAGATCCTCTTGGTACATCATTAATTTAAATAACTCAAGATGAGCACTCACCCTTTTCTGTACTATTTTCTAGTTACTAACCACTTCTCAGTCCAAACACTTACTTTTCCCAAATGCCTACTGCCTGTTATTTGAGAGATAATCTTTAACGGGGATCTTCATTAAAGACCATGTGAAATTTAAACAGACCAAATTGTGTGTTTTTGATCTGTGTTCTGGGGCCATTGTGTCACACTGAAAATAGGAACGACACAATGAGAGGAACTCAAAGAGAATACGTTGCAAAAAACACTAAAAAGGTAAAAAGCTTCGGTTCTTGTACTAAAAGAATTGTCAGGCACACATGATAGAAAACCCACAAAATGAAACAACCTGCACTTTCACCTAACTAGCCCTAACAGAATCGCTAAATCTAATCCGTAATCTCTAACCCTTAGTACCCTCTGAGAATGGCCTGCACCTCTCAGAAGATAGAAACTGATAATAAAGATCGGCACAGTCAAGAGTATCCAGACTTTAAAAATCACTCCTTGCAGGTTCAACTGCAATAAAACAGCCACATCAGAAGACTGCCCAACTAAAGAAAACAGTTCACTAACAACAGACCTGCACAACCTACTGAGTCTGAAACTTTCACATCAAAACCAATTCTCTCCAATATAAATATTGCAACATAGCTCTGAAGTTCTATAATCCCTTTATCTATCATCTGAACTAGAACAAGTGCAGGAAGGGTTAAATCTACTGGGATATGACTGTGATATATTAATCTCTCAGTCACAGTTTCAGGTTTTAAAAATAAACCTGAAGCTTCAACCTAAAAAATCGATAATTTTATAACATCAAATAAAAATTGTTTCAACCTTACTGGTATAATATCAGAAAATCATTGTGAATAAATGTAATTAAAAAAGTGCTGTTAAAACAAACTCTTGAAACAAGATGCTTTCCATCCTATCACTCTCCCAGTTTCATGCCAGGCTCTCCCTAGTCTCTTCCCATATTAGCCCAGTCTGTCTCCAGCTCCACTGTGGTCTCAGCACAGAAAGGTGTTTTACAGAAAGCTCGAGAGTAACTCCAGTTCAGTCCCTGCTCCACTGTTTCATTACTCCTCAAACCGTCTTCCTGCAAGTGGAATTGAGCTCTGACCCTTTAGAGCCCAGAGAAATCACATTACACTGCCGAGCACTGTAGAAATGGTGTTTATTTTTGCAAGTGACCTGATATCAGCAGAGGGAGATGGAGCTGAGCCTGCGGTCCTCGTCCCTGCCAGATGTTTCCGTGAATAAGCGATGAGCTTCTCAGTGCTGCTGTAAACAGACAGCCTGCCAGGATCTCTCTGACACAAAGACCCAAAACCCAGCCCCTGTCACTCAATCACTGGCAACACAAACTACTGAGGGAGACCATCTCTCTCAGCCGCCATCGCCTGCTTTTCCAGCTCCTTCACTGTCTCCCACAAGCTTGGTGCACAATTCCTGCATCCCTGCTTTTCTACCGCTGCCACCATCAGCAGCCATGCCTGTCCTCTCCTCTCTTTTCTCTAGTTTATTGTTCCTGTTAATCTGTTTTTCCCTCTCGTACAGAACATCCCTCCCCTCCCTTTGTCCCCTCTTGTCTTCCTCTCTCTCCATTCCTTCGTCTGTCTCTGGCCCCTCCCCCACTGAGCGGCACCATGAGGCTGCTGGGCAGGGTGGTCAGGATGGTGGACGCTGTGGCCTGTTTCTGCTGCTGCACTTGCCATTCTGCTCCTATATTGTTTTCCTGGAAAATCATTTTATAGCAACATAGGTTCTAGCCAGTCCCAATGCCAATGCCATGAGATACAAAGGATGTAAAATCATAGGAATGCTTAGAAATACAAAAAACAAAAAATGTGTGTGACGGTAAGGGCGCGTTGTGGAAAAGCGTCGCTCCTGCGCTGGATGGCTCTCCCCCTCCCTGCTTGTGGCTAGTGTCTGTCCAGCCAGGTGCAGGGGAGTAGCACATTGGCATTCAGGTGGGCAGCAGGCAGAGTGGCGCCCCTGCCTGAGCAGGAGGGACGCGAGAGGAGAGGTGTAATAGAATTAGGAAATTGAATTTTCTACTCGATTATGAGAATACGTCCGTTCTGATCAACCAACCAGAAATAATTAATTGCAAAACCAATTATGCGGACAGCTAATAAATCACATCTGACAAAATCATTTCAGAAGAAGAATTGGTTCACAGGTGGGGTGTTGTTCTGGGGCTGGAAGGTGTGTGTGTGGGGGGGTTGTTTAGGGTGCAGTTAGCAGGACTGTGTGCTTTGTGCTCTCCTCCTCACACTGCTTAACAAACATGCTTACCCCTGCACTCAAAAGGCTGTTTCCACACTATAACCCAGTACATCCATTCCTTTCTCTTGCCCTGCAGCAGGGTAGGGGCCAGACTGCCTGAGCCTTCACAGCCCTGCTGACCAGCTGACCAGCTGACCAGCTGACCCACTGACCCAGCTCAGAGCAGAGCTGCCTGTGTGGCACACCACTTCCTCTGCCCAATCCCCAGCTCCATGGCACACTCACCAACCGGGCAGGAGGATGTCTCTCCTAGATTAACACAAGCCAGGACTGCACCAGGCAGGCAGTTTTGAGTGACTCAGGACTGAGAGGTGACAGCATAGCCTTTGCCCCTTTGGCCCTGTCTGTTTTCCAGGTGTTTCACACTCACCTCATGCTTGCCCTTCATCCGGCAGACCCTGATATCATTCTTATTGGGCTCCCAGGTCCGTTTCTGGAGAAGCAGAAGTACAGTGTGGGAGTAAGTGCAGAAGACACCTCAATCCACCTCCCCCAGACAGCACAGAGCAATGCTTACCTTACTGTAAAACATCTCCTCGCCAGCCACACCGTCCAGGTCCACCCGGAACAGGTCATCCCTGACAAAGAGACAGATCGGAAGCACAGGACTGAGACACCGTCTTTGTCTTTCTTTTTGCTATGTTACAGGTAATTTGATTTTGAGAAGGAGGTTTGTATATCATTGACGCACTTTCTACCAAAGACAGTTCTAAAGCATGCAAACCACATTTTAGCCAAATCTCTTAGTATTTTAGAATATTGCATGAAAACACTTTGACATTGAGACCTATGAAGCACTGACCTGGAAGAGTTCATATAGATACTGTAAGTATTTCACTGCAGAAGAAAACCCCCAAAATGTTAGATTGAGGGTCTCAGTTTGAATCAGGCATGAATAACCCATTTCTGTTTGAGTGTTTAGGCTCAGAAGGAACTCCAATGATATTATTTCTAGGAGGTGATCTAAAACAAATCTCCTGGAATTATAGGACAGGAAATACAGAGCTGGGGAAAATGCTCCAGAGACCAGGGAATAGAATTCTGAGATAAACAGCAGCTTTCTGTATGAGCTGCACAACGAGAGTCTCCCAGAGCCCGAAGTGAAAGTGTAATTAGCCATATGAGCTTGACACCTCACTAACACATTAACGACTGGAGAGAATTTGAAGGTTATTTGGACCCAGGGGCCCCCACTGCTCCTCAGTGTTGATTCTGTGGTCCCTCAGGCTGCTGGGGTGGCTTCACGAATCATTGGGTGTGCTTGAGCTACATGTAGTGAGAAGGACATTCAGTGAACGAAATATCTGCATTCTGGAAAACCTTCTCAGGAGTTCAGCCCTCTGTGTCCATCTCATTCATTCCCTTTGATTATGAAAGGAACACCTGATGGAGAGGAAACTGATTTTCTGAGATGGGTCAAACAGTTTCTACATGCACTCTCCTGGAAGAGACAGGAAGAGAAAGCAGACTAAATCGGGAGAGAAAATTAGTTAGGAAAAATAGAACAAGGGCATCGAGCAACACAGAGAGGAGCAGGCAGTTACAGAAGGGCTGTGGAAACGAATATTAGCGTTGAAAAAAGAAAGGCAGGAGCAGCTGGAGATCATGTTACTTGAAATGACAGGCTAGAATTAAGCGAAGCCTGATTATTGATTATCAAGCTGATCTCCTGTGAGGCGCCAGTGTTGGGCAGACAGAGCTTGTGCAGCCATGTGCCGTCTCTCAATCTGCTGGGTTGAGCCACGTGATGTCACAAAGCATCTTTCGGGACCCTATGTGGACAGCACAATCCGGAAGGTAGTGAACTGGGAGGAGATGAAAAACTGGGCTAGTAGACGAACAGGGGGGCATGATGAATGTGCTCGGGGGTCATGGTCCAGGCAAACAAGTCCGAAGGGTGTTCGTAGGGAAATCCGTGGGGTGGCAAATGTCCAGAGCCGGGTGATCAATCCAAGACGAACAAGACAAAGTTAAAAGCTGGAGAGGGATCCGGCAATGGGTCGGGGAGAAAAAAGGGGGAACAGGGCCAGGTGCTCCAAGTCCCGGACTCTGCTGGTTCAGGATGGCGATAGGAGGCCAATGCCTTCGAGCCGTGGGCGTAGGGCGACTCAGTGGTAGGCGGGCCTCCGGCCCTCCATGTTCCAAGGCAGAGCCCGGAACAGAAAGAGTGTCTGGCTTTTAAAGGTGAACTGGAACAGGGAGCAGGTGAAGAAAATCAACTAAAATGTGAAAGAGCCGGAGCACCCTAAAAAAGGAGGGATTACAATCGTGACAACAGGAGACAGCTAGGAACAGCTTAGGAAACTCTAACAACCAAACTATAGACTTCAAGATGCATGTGTGCCCAGTCGCCAGAGACTGCTGGAGCTCTGTGTTCTGGTGTTAGGAGTCAAATAGATGCATCAAGAGATGCATCTATGAATTGGCTTCATTACTCTGTTCTCCTCCCACCTGAGAGGTGATGTGTGGTGAGTGTTCTGGTGCACTATGGCTGCCTTCACATCATCCAGGTGGGGCTGCACATTGGTGGTGGTGGAGGGGATCCCCATTACCTATACTGTAAACAGGTGCCGTCCTTCGGATGAGATGTAAAACCGAGGTCCTGACTCTCTGTGGTCATTAAAAATCCCAGGGTAGAGTAGGGATGTAACCCCAGCGTCCTGGCCAAATTTCCCATTGGCCCTTACCAATAATGTCCTCCTAATAATTTCCCTCTATGAATTTGCTTCATTACTCTGCTCTCCTCCTCACTGATAGCTGATGTTTGGTGAGCGTTCTGGCGCACTATGGCTGCCGCCACATCATCCAGGTGGGGCTGCACATTGGTGGTGGAGGGGAGTCCCCATTACCTGTAGAGTGCTTTGAGTGGAGTGTCCAGAAAAGCGCTATATAAGTGTAAGCAATAATTATTAGTATTATTATTACCTGTAAAGCGCTTTGAGTGGAGTGTCCAGAAAAACGCTATATAAGTGCAAACAATTATTATTATTATTATTAATTATTATATAGTGGGCTAAGGGATTAGGGTTAGGGCTAGACTGCTGGCAGGGCGCTGGCTCTGCGTTGGCAAGGGCACTGAGGGTTGGCTCTTGCCTCGGTGAGGGGTAAAGGCTGACTCTGTGCTGACAGAGTTCAGACTGTAGCAGTACCTGGCTCCGATGTACAGGGTGCGGTTAACCTGCAGGATCCTCTGGATGAGCAGTGGCTCCTGCCTCACAGCAGACCGATGGGGCCGTCCCAGGAACACAGGGTACCTCCTGGCCGCTGAGGGAGAGACACACAGAGCCATGGATGGAGAGATGCAATAGTGAGAGGAGGAGGGTAGAGATGGGTATGGGGAGGAAAGGTGTAGGGAGGGAGAGTGTGGTTGGGAGGCAGAGAGGAAACGATGGACATCAGAGAGGCCAAGTAGGCTTGGGAGAGGGTGAAGAATACACACCAGGTCCTTCACTGCGTTGTCTGAGCTGACTGAGGGGGTCTGTCTCTGCCCCCTCCCTCTCTCTCCTTCTCATGCTTGTTTTAATAATTATCAACACCAAAGGGTACAGATGACTACATCACCAGGTCTTCTCCTCTTTATACACAAGGAGACACATTGATCACTCATGTCTGCTGTGTTTCCTGAACTAACTGACCAGGGCAGCTGACCACAGAGGACAGACATCACAGTCTGTGTGGAGGCTGGAGCAGTGAAAGGCAACACCTACCCTCCACAGGGGCAGTACTCAGGGGCCCCATCTCCTCAGGGAATACTGCGACAGCCAGTTGGAGGAGCAGGGGCAGCAGGATGAGGGGCTGGGCCAGCGTCGTCATGGCGGTGTGAGGGTGGTTCTGGGAAGACAGAAGTCAGAGGTCATTGTGAGCCATATTAAGCACACATCAATGAACAAAAAACAACGTAACAAACAGTGACACACAACACAACACACTTTGGCAACCCTGTGAGAGGCCTTTCTCAGAAATAATACAGAATGATGCTTGGAATGTGTTGTTTACAACATCCTGCAGTCAGACATGATAAAACAAAGAAATCTTTAAGTGTGTGCTTCCAGAGTGCTGGGTTGCTGGCAGACAGATATGCAGTCTGTTCACAGCAGAAGATCCAAGTCGCTCATTTTCCAGAATTGAAAATAGCCATTTAAACTGTCTCCACAGGATATTTCCCAGCTTCCTTGAGTTATTCTTTTGATTAGTAAGAAGAACACACTACTGTAAACATGATGAGATAGTAATGTGACCCCAACCTGCCCCCTGTCCACAGGTTCCCCGCCCACTTGCACAGTGATGCCAGGGTCACCGCACCCTCGTACAGCGGCTCCTCGCAGCCCTGTCCCAGGAGGCCTGCCTGACTTTCTCACTGCAATCCCTCCTCTCATCTTAATAACGACCATCAATTTTGCCTGCTCTCATGCTCTGCAAGTGTTAGAAGAGCCCTTCTGAAATTTACTGCCACTTCTTTGAGTGTAATTATTCCCTGTGCCTCAAGGCAGCCTGGCCCTATCTCTGTGATTTGTGACTGGGGTAGAGAGCGGAGTTAACCCTTTATGGGATGAGCACAGAGGGGCCTGGGAGTGAGAGAACTGAGGGAGAGACAAGTGAGGAGTGAGAGAGGAGCAATGAGTGAGAGATGAGAGAGTGAGAGACGGTTGAAGAGTGAGAGATCAGAAAATGAGAGTGGGGTGACAGAGACTCTGCTCTCTGACAGTGGGTCACTCGGGGGCGTCATACTGTAATTAAACCACACCGGAGCCTGAACAGATCAAAGACCCTGGCAGCTTAATTAGCATCAGCACGTCATTAATCAGCAGTGCAGAAACACACAGAGACAAAACTGAAATGAAAGGAGGTTCAATGAAGGTGAAAATTTAAAAAACTATTCTTCAGCCTACTGTAAGTCAGATAGTATCTCTAGTAGTCAGACAGGAATATCTCTCGGATCAGCCACAAAACTTCCACAGCCCACTTTCCACAGGATATCTACTCTAATTGCATCACTAATTAATTCACATAGCAAGAAACACAATTGTTTCAAAACCCAGTCAAAGTAAATCAAATATTTTCGTTATGAATTTCCAATGTTCATGGCAACCCTGCAACTCACAACTGGCAGCCCACTGGAGCCCAGCAGGTGTGAGCCTGGTCAGTACCTGGATGAAAGACCTCCTGGGAAAGCTAAAGCTGCTGCTGGAAGAGGTGTTAGTGGGGCCAGCAGGGGGCGCTCATCCTGCAGTCTGTGTGGGTCCTAATGTCCCAGTATAGTGATGGGGACACTATACTGTAAAAAGGCACCGTCCTTCGGATGAGACGTAAAACCAAGGTCCTGACTGTCTGTGGTCATTAAAAATCCCGGGGTGTTTCTGGAAAAGAGTAGAGGTGTTACCCGGGTGTCCTAGCCAAATTTCGCCCTGGCCTTTACCCATCATGGCCTCATAATAATCCGCATCTCTAAACTGGCTTCATCACTCTGCTCTCCTCCACACTGAGAGCTGGTGTGTGGGGAGTGGGCTGGCGCATCATCCAGGTGGGGCTACACACTGCTGGTGGAGGGGAGTCACTTTGAGTGGAGTGTCCAGAAAAGTGCTGTATAAGTGTAAGGAATTATTATTAGAATTATTAAGATACATGTGTGTGTTCCTGTGCCAGTGCCCACGTGTGTATGCCCAGAGTGTGTACCCATGTGTGTTGCCCATGTGAGCATGTTTCCCACACCAGTGCCTTTTTTGCTCTGTCCTGTCTCCTTCTGTGTGTCATATTATAAGACTTATTCTAGAATGAGTTGATACAGATCAGTTGTCAAGAACTGTTATGAACCTGCTGTACTAGATATCTTTAACTTATAGCCTCACCATCACAGTGCCACTCTAGTACCACATATGCTTGTTGTTACAAAAAGGAATATAAATGTAAAAACAGTAGAAAATGCAAACCAATGATGTTGGGTGTTTTTTAATGGCAGCAGTCATTGCTATAGTATTAAATGATCACTGCTGAAATAAAATGTAAAATGGGTATTTCCAAGTGGGATTGTATCACTGTCCCTGCAGGAAGACGGAGATGTGATAGAACAGATGCAACATTTTGGCTCCACTGAACACAACCAAAGAACCAAAAATCTCCAATTTCATTCCCAACCTGGAACACGATACAGGCAAATATCCCCTCAGATTGCTGGAGCTTGACCTTTCTTATTTAAATGGGCCTTGGTTGACCTAAGACCATTGTGGTGGCAATGTCTGACAGCATTCAAATAACACCAGCTCTCCCCTGCATGTGCGCGCACACACACAGACAGCTTCCAGCCTAGAGCTTCTCGCCCAAGTGCAGGAGAACAGAGAAGAGAGATATGAAAAGAAGGACAGAGGTCAAGGGCAGGAGAGAGAGAGGGGGAGGGAGAGAGAGCGAGAAAGACAGGATGAGACTGAGAGAAAGAGGAAGGCTGCCACCACTATGTTATTAGCAGGAATCTATTGTTGCTGCTGTTAATAATTTATGACTGAATGTCAGGCTTCACGCATTATATTTGCATAATTAGAAACTGTAGGATACAGGATATCAAAACACAGAGAGACAGGGAAGGATAGGGTAGGGAGAACAAGTCACAATCTGAGCCAGACAGGGGAGTAGCAAGCAAAGAAACAGGAATGGCTGTGGAGAGAGAGAGGGACCTGACCCATTACAGTTGACGGGTGCAATTCTCCACAGCATTTTAACCACAGTTAGGATTCCCCTTTCTCCCCCAACCCATTCGTTCATTTATAAACCAGCTGCTTGAGAGGCTCGGGGTCCCCACAGATCAGAACACCAGAACAACTGAGGAGCACTCTCACTCTCACTGTCTGTACAATCTGTGTAATGATGGTGTGGCAGAGCTAGTTCGGACACGGTGATGCCATCACCCTCCCTGTGCGTAGCAGGGACCTCAGCTGCCTGGGAAGAGGGAGGTCTCCTTTAGCTCATGTGGCTGGCTCCCTGTTGCATAACGCTGGAGACCTGGGTTCGTGCCCCAGGTGTTGTGGGACGAAACGGGTGGGGTGGAGTGGTGGAGGACTTGACCCCGCGCGGAACCGCTACGGTCACAATATCAGGTTCATGATCTATACAGCCTAATTAATCAATTCCACCTGTAATCAATACAACATGTAATCCACAACATCTGTAACATATTCCTTTCCCCATATGAGCAATGGCTCTGACAGGCCAGAAAGGACATACAGGGGTAAGACAGAACTGGGACTGGCTGTGTTAATCCTTTCTCCAGTTCTCATCTGAAGAGCTACCGTCCATCTCTGTGACTGCTGCTTCCATCTGGAATTCTGATCCTGTCACTCCTCCTCCCCTGTGTCAGCTCTTATGAGCTGATAAAAATGTTTCCTTCTGTGCTCAATTAACACCAGCAGGCTGGCGCAGACAGTCCAGACACATATTCCCTCACACAAACACACAGCAGCCACACACACACACTTGTACAGGCCTATGAATGTTTTATCAGCTTCTCGGTAAACAAGGATTCTCCATTAAAAAGACACGGTTCCTCTTCCTTCTTCTTTTCCTGCTGTCACTGCGATTCTCTTCTCTTTAGTGAACTGCACAATGCTGACTAGCAGCCACACGAACACAGAAACATGGAGTAAAACACACATATGCACACAGACACACAGTAACACAGACACATAATAAATCAAACATTCATGTCCAGTTTAGCTGCCCGCCTCTTCCAGAACCCAGCTGGCCACTTTGCTCAGACACAATCACCATCCACAGCACACACCTGCCCCCAGGTCACAGGCCCCCAGGAGACAGCGAGTCTCCTGCTGGGAGAAGAAGACTAGATCCTGATTATTGCCCTGTAAAATAGACCCTTCAACTGCCTCCCTGTTTGCTCCAATTACCACCCTGTTGAGGTAGACTACAGCCCAGCCAATCCTCTGCTGGCATCTGAAAGAGTCCAATTACTGACCACCCTCCTCTCATACCTCATACCCCTTCCCTATGGAAGAACAATTAAACCCAGAACAAGAGAGGCCTGCAGGGGTATATAACAGGCCATGGGTCGACACTCTTCTGGTCTTCTTCATTTAAAAACCTGCTTGAGCTCACTGGACCAGTTCTCTGGTGTTTTCTGGAGTAAGCTGCCAGTGAGAGCTGCTCTCGATAGCTGGAGCCTGTATTAGCCTGCTCATGGTGGGGAGATGTGTCAGGTGGGGCAGAAAGGGTGTTTGGATCCTGTGCAGGACTCAGGAGAGAGAGAAATCACCAATCCGGATTGCTAAGCAAAAACGAAACCAGGAAGCAAGCGAGTAGGTCTGTACATGGAAGAGACAGCGAGAGAGCACAGTCCAAAATGAAAGGTAAAGTTGAAAATAAGGAGCAGGCTAGAAGATCAAATACCGAGGTTTAGGCTTAGAAGAGAATAATGCGCACTTGGAAGCTCTAGAAGTATCCGCAATAGTGAGCGGGGAAGTGAGGAAAGAGGAGAACTAAAATAGTGATGGGAGTAAACGGTGATAGATACTTTATTGATCCCATGAGCGGAATTGCAGTGCAACAGCAGCTTAACAAAGACAACATAGCCACAGTGTAACGAATGATACAAAAATAATAATAATACAATACATACAATACAATCAGTACAGTGAGGGGTGCACTAAAAGAGTTACAGTCCAGGACACACAAAGAACAAACTAGAACAGAATAGTATGCAGAAAAATCGTATCGCACATATGCATATAAATATAGATGTAAATATAGATATAAATATAAATATAAATGTATTGCATGGGTTCCTGGCATACAGTATATTGCACAAAAAAACGGTTGTAAATGGGAAAAGA